AAGCTCAAAATGAAAAGAGTAATGGCATACAAACAAAAACAAAAAGAAAATCGTAACAAGTCATATTTCCTTGTTTTGAAGTTAATTCGATTCGTTGGTATAGGGTGGGTCAAAATGAAAAATATTAATTTTCGTAAAAAGATCAAAGGAAGCATCCTGTATATTATATATCCAATAATTACTCATATTAATGCTCTTTCAAATTTAGTAGGCGTTATACCTCAGAACCTCAAAGTGGAAGAGTCGGATCACATATTCATAGTAAAACACATAGATGAAAAGGTAACAGATTAAGAATAATATTTTGGGCTTCATTGACTTGAAAAAAGTGTGTGATAAAGAAGCAAGAGATAAATATTGAAAATTCTACTTCAAAGATGAATCGAAAATAAAATGATAAGAGTGTTGAAAAATTAAGTTTCAGAGCCATTAACAACCAAACGAGGATTAAGACAAGGAGGAGGACTAAGCCCTTTGCTCTTCACAGCAAAAGGAGCGTTTGTGGACGATTTAATACTATTAGTCGGAAAAGAGATAAATTTATGCTCTGGTGGATTTAGGAATGAAACTAAACAAACCGAAGACAAAAGTAATGCTAATAGAAAATGAACACAAACAAATATATATAATAACGAACGATGTATTGGTACCGAAGGTCACAAGTTTCAATGGCTTAGGAATAGAACTAGAGAGCAACGGAAAACAAAGAAAAGAGATACGTAACAGAATCGAAAAACCACTAAAACTGTTCTGTGGAATGAATAGGAACTTCATAAGTAAAAAAGAAATATCAACAAAAACAAAAATAAATGTCTCCAAGGTCATACAGAGACCAATTTTAACATTTGGTTGTGAATCGTGGACACTGACTGATCACCAAAAGTGCAAAATTCAAGCCCTGCAGATGAAATACTTGCGAAGAGTTAAAGGAGTCATAAAAATGGCCAAAATAAGAAACACAGATATAAGAACAGACTTTGAAGTACATCGAAACATGACAGTTGGGCTGGTGAGGGCATCTACAGAGGTTGGAAAACGCGTAAAGAAAAAGTATCATGGGAAGCAAAAGGGCAAAAAAGAAAAAACCAAGACAAACATGAAGAGATTCTGCAAAAAGGAGGCAAAACTCAAAAAAAAATGCACAGCACCAGCCATACTTAAGATGATATTTAAAATAGAAATGTAGGATATTGTAATAACTCACCATCAATATATTATGGTTAGAACTAATTAAAATTTAAGAATCAAACTAAAACGTCGAAAATTTTTTTTCAATAAGAAATCTCTTAACATCATTTTTAAATAATTCATAGTAGTCAGAGGCACGTGCAGGTACCCCAAGAGGACGTAAATTTCTGGTAATGGTGGTCATGCTTTGTGAATACTGTTTGTGTGAAAGAGCAATTTTCATAATAGGGGGCCACCTTTTAAAGCTTTTTTAATTGTTTGTTTTTCATGGAAGACATATTGTCTTTGATATGATTAACATAGTAATGGATGTTATGAACCCAAGCGAACTCTGTAGTATATATATATATATATATTGGTGAATATATTGTAGTGTATGCAGATGATACAACTTTGGATCTTAGCGGGGAAGACGCTGATAATACTACATTTACTAAGATTTACATAAAATAGGACATAAATTAATAAAAATTAATACATTTCTTTTTACGGACTTAAAATAGTTAAAAGGCTTGATTGGTGGTCTCATATCCAGAGTGCGGTGGTAAGCTTAACTAAAGACTGCTATGCACTGACCGTAACTACGAGCAGAATTACTGAACTTCTTTTAATCCCTACTTACAAATGAACTTCTTTTTTGAAGTGACTCTTTCGATTTTGCCAGGATTTTGGTTTTATAATAAAAAGTGTAGACGTATTATCTTAGGGACAAGTTATCGTGACCCGTTTGTGTGAAAAATTGCAATTTGACACTTGTTGGCATGTATATAGTAGATTCTTTGTGTTAAAATTTGTGTACTGACTTGGCACACCATCATGATAATGTAACTAGGTATGGTCTGTTAATAGATATAGGAAAGTGACCAATGGCTTTTAAACGGGATTATCCAAGGGTGGTCATTTACATACAATGCAACAACATTATTTCCTAAAGTTTCGGAATTTAAATTCAGGTAAATTTGTGGTCCGTGTGGTATACTACTTAGTTTAAGTTTATTAGTAATCATTCTTATTTCGTGTGTAATACAGAGTGTGTTGAATCGTGTGCGAATTATATAAAATATGTGCGAGTCTAGTGTATCTCAGGAGATGCTCCCGCGCCAACACTATTCTATTGAGACTAAACATAATACATATAAACAATATTTATTTGAACGTTGAGTCAGCAAGCCAGCATCTTTAGAAGAAACGGCCAGATTGACGAAAATTCCAACATGAACTGTATGGAAAATTGTGAATAATCCCATTTAAGCGAGGAAAAAAAGAAGCGATACTGACATTTTCCCGAGTGTAGACGAATGTGATCAAGATATAAGACGGCGTAAAATTTACCAGTTATACGAGAAACAAAGTGTGCCTACATTAGATATCTTAATTAGGAGGGTTAAAAAAGATGAAACCGGTGTTAAATGTGGCAGAACTACCTTATGGAAGTGTATTCAACACATGGGTTTTAGATTTTAAAAAATTGACAAGAGGTAAGTTTTAATGGAATCTTTTTGAATTCGGAAATGGCGACTGGAATATCTAGAAAAAAATAGGATTTACAGAGAACAACAAAGGCCAATTATTTACTTGGATGAAATCTGGTTCGACACTTATGATACCCCGGAAAAGGGTTGAAACTGATAAATGTAAATGTAAAACAAATGCGCCATCAAAAAGAGTTAAAAGAATTTTGCATGCTGGCTCTGAAGATGGTTGGATTCCAAATGGACTTTCTCTGTCCGCGAAAAACATTAAATATTCTTCTCTGGATTACCATGAAGACACCACCGCTGATTTATTTGAAGGTGGGTTTAAAAACAAACTAGTTCCAAACATTCCTCCTAATGATGTCATTGTAATGGACAATGCAAGTTATCACAGTAGACAGTAGACTAAAACCCCTTCCTCATGTGACACAAAAGCAACAATCCAAAAGTACATGTATAATAACTACATTTATCTAGGGCATACATTTTCCTTCCTTAAACTTATAGAAACCGAAGTTTTTAACATCCCTGCACAAAGTTGGGCAAATTCTGTTAAACCTATAGAAAAAGCAGAATAATCGTATAGCCATATTGCAAATAATATAGAACGTTGCGATAGTGATAGTGATATATTATGTGAATAATTTTAAGTAATTTAAGTAGGTAATAAAAATAATTTGTGATTTAATTTTAGATTTATACATAATACATACTTAAATAAATAAATATATGTTTAGTATCTTTGCTAACGAAACCCCACATAAACAAATTCTAAGCAAAGTACGGACCTGTTTGGCCATAATTTCATTCTTACAGCTTGCCCGGATCTTTAATTAATTAGTATGAGTTAGTCACTTTCTTATATCTATGAACAGATTTTACCAAAAAAAAGTAACAAGAGGGGTTCAGTGGAAGATGAGAAGATGGCCGTTGGCTAGTGTTAATATGTGTGACATGTTAATGCTATTGTTAATTTCGTTTCTGTATTGGTACCCACTTCATTTGAATAGTAAATTGTTTATAAAGAAATTTAATTTCTTGATTTTTTCAATAAGATTTACCTCTTCTCTACATGGTCATAACAATATCGTTAATATGACAGCACGCACAGAAATGAGTTTTTATTTTTACGTGAAAACCATGCAATGAGAATGCAAATGTCGTTATTTTTAAGGAAATCAGTGGCGTGCCACTGACTGTCTATGAACAAATAATATTTTGGTTAATAATAAACGATTATTATTTAACGAAATGGTTTGTTAATATATTAATAACAACCTTTTTAAAAAGAAGTAGAACATAGAAACTCAATAAGTTGTTGAAAGTATCTTCCATCTTGAAGGATACACGCTTCAGCTCTTTTTCTCATATTGTCGCATATACCTCCAGTGTTCTTTACCATTACGCTCATGGAAAATTAAGATTTTCATACACTTAAAGCTTTACTAGAAGAAATCTTGGGTGTATTCACATATAAATAAATATATATGTAAAATAAATGTAAAATGTAAACTTACGGCGCACTGCCATCAGCCAAACCATACATAAAATAGAAATCTGCAACTCTTCATTAGTAAACTCGAATATTCTTTTTTAAAATAACAATGCTCGCACATTTTAAACACCTAATTAATAAGACGTGAACAACCGAATTTAAAAACTGATGTCAAACAACTGTCAAAAATTAGAAGTTAGATTTCTTTGGAAATGATTGGAGATTGTAAGAATAATTTTTGTTTTACGAAAAATCAGTGGCGTAGTATCAATATCTGCCAAAATACACGACACATTCTATTAGAAAACACCTTGTATACCACCATGCAAGGAAGAATCGACGCTAGCAAAGGGGTTGATAGAAAAAAGATGTAATTAATTGAGAAGCATTTATACGTGTGCTCGCCAACGTTCGTTAAAAGACGGCATGTAAAGAAGAAAAACATATTTTTTTATCTCGACTTCTTTTTTGTATTTTCTGATTACCGGGTGGAAATGCTGTATTTTTTTCTTTATTTTTATTTAATTTACAGTTATTTTTATTGTTTCCTTAGACTACTCCAGACAATGTGCGATGCTATAAAAAATAAAGGTTTATCTCTTCTATGAAATTGTTTTTTTTTTATTTGCAGAAGAAAGTTTTGAGGTTTTTGAAGTTATTTGCCAAACGAGAAAAAGTTATTTAGGAAAATTCAAATCAATTTTTTTTAAGCTTTTTTTTTTAATTTTTGCATTTTTGAAAAAAAATGCTTTGATATCAATTATAAAGTAGAATCAGCCCTTAGTTTTTCCTTTCTTCTACTTCTGCTTCTCCTTTTCAGTTTCAAATTTCTAGACCATTACCTGCGGAATGCTAAGTTTCAGCGGTTTGTCATTTTCCACCGACGACGACGAAGGCAACTCTTTGAACTCGGTTGTGCTGGTGCTGGGCAAACTGTGATTCGGCGGCACTATCGACACCTTCTTCTTATTTCTACAGTGATCGCTCAACAAACTCGTTTTATCCACAGGAACGAAATCCGGATCAGGTGCGTCGCGTAATTTTGGTGCTAACGGGTACCTGCATTACACAAGGCAAACATATTTTTATAGTATGGCGTTCTAGATAAACTTTGGTGAATATAGAAGAATCAAAAGGTTCTGTTCAATTTTATCTGCGCAAGTTGGGATTATGGGTGCTGACACAGCGATGAAATCGTTTTTATAGAGGGAGTAGCGAAATTGGTGGACCAAACTATAAACTCTATCTACAGGTGGTCCAAATAATGTCCGAAAGTAATATGCCTCATTCATTATTATTAAATACAAAAGCTATAGGTAGAATATAAAAGGAACAATTTAAAATTATTTTGATTTTCATGGTTCATAAATATATGAGAAATCAAATTCAGTTATTTTTTGATGGAATGAGTTGTTATGGTCTATACTGGGTGTTAAGCATTCACTATACTTGCATCACCAAAGATTGAGGATAAAATAAATCTAACCTGTATGTGAAAATGGAGCCACTACAGACACTAAAAGGCGCGAGCTGAAAACATTATTCTTAGTTCAATAACATTTTGGCCATTAAGAAAGGCAGAATTTCCAAATTAGTGGAAAGAAGGGAAAATTTTTTTTCACCAAATTAAAAATTTACTTTTTTTTGGATTACTGCGGTATTTTCTCATAATTTGAGAATTTTTTTAGGCACTTCATTCTGTGTTAGCATGTAACGAATGCTATCATCCGAAAAAATTGTTTAATTCGTCTCTGTATCACTTTCAATGTTCAGGTAATATTTACTTTGTTCGCAATCTTTTGTATTATTTTCGCACGGTTTGAAAAATTTCAGTATTTTGTTCGTAAAATTGTGTATTCCGTAAGTTGGGGTTAATAGAAACAGTTTTGCATAAGTTTTGTTGTATCAAATTTTAACAATTAATTTTGTATTTAACTATAACTTTTGTATTTAATTTTAATAAAAAAAAATATTAATATTAATTCACACACTATTTAGAGACGCTGTACATAAATCGTAATCGTAAAAAAGGGCTTTTCCTAGGCTATCAAACGTGCCATAATTAAGATGCTTACGACACCAGATGGCGTTTTCTGACAGAATTGCCAAAAAATAATTGTCTGAAAAAAATGTGGCTATATACTTTTTTAAAGTCATTAACCAAAACTAACCAACCCAATGAAAACCACTTCGTAATATTTTTATCCTAACCTATAGCAACGATTATAAATTGATAACTTTGATAACACTAAAACAAGAAAATCCCGTCATTTTCTCTGCAGGAATTTATCCTGCGTCGTGTATTTAATACTTTCACTGCCACGGTGGAGGGTTGCTCCGGGAATGAGGCAGGAGAGGCTTATGATGGATGGGCCCGCAATCCGTCGGACCAGGGGGCAGAAAATTATTTTAATAATATTTGGGAACCAAAAAATGTTTTTATGACAATTTCCATTTTTAGAAATGAATAATTTTTGTCAAAGGAGGTGCTTTATTATTTTATGGTTTTCTACTTACTATTTAAGTCTTCAGTAATTAACAAAATTATTCCTAATAATAATGATAAGTAAACCTAATTATAAAAAGTGATAAATTTTTGAACCAAACATTGTCGTTTCTTTATAACAGTCGATGCCGGTTTTGGTACGTATCATTCAGGCTATAATCGTCAAAATTGACGTTGATTTGTTGTGACTCTTTCTAAATTTTTGCAAGATGCCGCGAAGATATAATCGGCATTCACAGATATCATGATGAAGCGAAAAATGTTTTAAATGCATCACAACTTAGCGATACAACAATCATAAATATTAATAAAAGAGACGTGATAGTGATGAATTCTTTACCTTCAGAATATCTCAAAAGCAGAAAAAAGTAAAATCAAAAATTACAGATTACTTAAAGAACAAAATGAGAGATATGATCTATTGCATGTATGCGAAAAATGAATTTGTTACAATGCAGATTTTGCTTAAAAAACTAAAAGAGCTAACTGAGAATTGTAATTTTTCCATTAACTCGACTATTGTATTCGCAACAAAATACTAAGACATACTCCATACCATTGTCAGATTAATGGTATGGTGTGAGTGTAGGAGGATTGCTAGTCTTAAGGGGATACCATCGGAAGTTTTTGCGATGTGGCAAAACGATAATTGAAGTATCTTTAGAGCACTGGCAAAATTATGTTAACCACGCAGAATGGGGAATTCAAAAAGCTTGGTAGGCAATACATTTAGTTCTGACTCTGAAGACAGTGAAGGAGAATAGTTTTTCTATTTTTGGGTAAAGTTAGTTATATTCAGTTATGTCCGTAATTGAAAATTAAAATAATTTTGATGGGTAATTGGCCTCAATTTATTGCAATTGCAATAAAACAAAGATTAAAAAATTTATATTAGTAAAAATTAGTTTTTGAAGTTATAAAAGCCTTTTGGGCCAAGTCTAGTACCGCTTTAAAGCACCTGAAAAACTAGTTCTGTACGGAAAATGCTAATTTTAGATAAGCTCTTGCCAGCGCTGAACTCAACCCTCTTATCTACATCACTGCATTGCTGAAATATATTAAAAAAAAGTTATGTGAAACCAGCGTGACGTCATTCCAGAAAGGAAATACGTCAACTATATCCGATATTTGAAAACAGATAAGGATATAACAACGTGGTAATAATAGCTATGGTATTGTAAAATACTAAAATAAACTAACATAAACAACGAACTTTTATTTCAATAACGCTGAGTTGTTGGGCTTTTACTTGACTATCTAACGACTTAAAAAATTCATATAGTTGCATTTTATTTTGTTTGAAAACAGGTCAGAACGCGCTATCTGTTTGCAAGCTATTCAATCGCAGTTTTCTCGCTCATACCATAGGAAAACAGTTTTTAACGACTCCAGGTTTATTAAAATAAATTAAGCTATTTTGGAGTTATTTGCAGAAATGTTGGGGCCCACGACACCACTTTCCTTTCCTTTTAGAGTAAAAAGTATCTAAGAAAAAATATTTCAATGTGTTCCAACTTCAAAGCGATATTCGCTCTTAGTATTATTAATACAATAAAATTTTTAATGAAAATGGGTTTTAAAATTCAGAAATTATTTTTTTTTCAAATTTTTGTGAACATTAGGCTTCCTGAATACCTTACCTCGTTGTCCCTATTGAGTAAAAGGCGCTAGTGCTATTCCATGATCTTGGCAACTCACCCACTAGAACTGCGAGGATAAGCGTTGCTTTTCAAGCGGGTCTTCTTCCGGTGTCGCCGAAAACATGTGGACGGGCACGCGCACAACAGCACCCTGATTAGGCAGCATAGTAGGCCGCAGGCAATCAGCGTAGGCCCGATAAGCCTCAACTCGAGGGTCTTGAAACCCTTCTCGCCTGTACCGACGAAGAAAATTACGCTGCCGATCGCCGTTGTCCCCAGGCCGACGTAGAGGAGCGCGTTAGCAGCCGCGCTCTGGTGGTACACGCTGAAGAGGTCTTCGTCGTCCGAACCGCCGCCGTAGCTCGTATCGTGGATCTGGCAAAAAAGTCTTTGTGATTATTTCGCCCGGGTAAAGTAGTAGGACAGTGGAATCACACATCTATTGAACTCATACTATTTAGAAATCTTCGAAATTCCTCCTGCGTCGGTTCTTATAAATCGAACTTGCTGACGCCTCGTCAATCATCCCGCTGGCTTCCGCAGAGTTAAATGAAACTGTCTCGCATTCTACTATGTACAATTGATTTAATAAAAAATTGATGTGACTCTTAAAGCACAATGTGGATCGAAGTTATTATTTTCTACTCCCTTCTGTAAAATACCTAATTATACACTGATCTGGAGCGCGAAAAGTGTTATTTTAGGGCGTCAGTTTCGTTTTCTACGGATCGAACTCATTTCGGACTTTTCCGGGATACTACCAATCGGATGTTTTCGTAGAGTTTGCAGTACGGCTTGAATTTTGACGTTTGTCAATTCTGACGCTCATGTAAGTCAATGTATTCGTGTTGTTTTGTAAAAATGTATGATATGGTAAAAAAGTGTATGGAAATTTTTACCAAATGCCGTTTACCACACTTGTTGTATAATATACTATTAACGTAAATTCTGGCAACAGTTCTGAGAGTGACATTGAAATTTCGAATCTCGACCGAGAATGAATAATAGACGTATACTAACAACATCGATTTCGAAAAATCGTGGCTGTGCGAAGCGTCTGCTCCATAAAACTTCTACGCAGCTTTGTATTTTTTATTTTTCGTTTTGTCGTATAGTCACGCATTATTTTTCTATGGTACTATCGAGCTTTCGCAAAATCGATGTAATTTTATTGTGCATACACTCTGTATAAACTGACTTTTACGTCTCGCCGAACGTCAAAGTTACGCCAAGAATTGGTAAATATTAAAATTTGTACCAATAATAAGGTTTTTTTTCAAACATCTAGCGCACCCTGTGTGATAGATGAAGCTTGGAACTCTCTCTCGACACAATTTACGGTGGTGTTTAAACCAAATTATCCCTTGTTTTGTAGTTTTTCATTTACGGCTAATAATTTACTCAGAAAAAGCAATTTTCAGGATCTTTTAGATGTTTTTGCCCATAATCGATACACCTGTACATAATCTAAAAAATTACCGAAGTAAAAGTTATGCAGTACGCCATAATAGTAAATGACGTCATCGCATCTAGATTGGGGACGAGAAATTGTGAAAATCGTGAACACAAAAATTGTAGTTCTCGATGTGGCCTATAATACTGTTTAAAGCAATTAGCTATATTTTTTACAAATTTTGATTTACTGCTATTAATTAAATAGCGAAAAGAACAATTTTCAGGGTCTTTTAGATTTTTGTCTATAAATGAAAAGCCCTGTATTATAATGGAAAATAATAATAATAATTTTTTCATGAAGGCAAAAAATTAAAAGAAAATATACTTGGTCAGGTTTGATTACGCTCAATTTTTAGAGTTTAGATATCGGTATGGACTTCTACTTCTTTGCTAAATTTGAAGTAGATAGCTGCAAATTTGACACCATTATTACATTTTTGAATATAGCATAGAATATTCCGTAGAAAATGTGAAAACTTTTGTATTCAAACTTTTTTTTGCAACAGTCATAGATCATGAGATGAGGTATAGGCTCCTCTTAGACCGACCACTCTGTATATAAAATACATACATAAATAAGGTCTTAAGTTTGCAATAACTTTGTTGGACTAGATAAGACAAGTGAGGTCCAAATCTCATTTTGTTATCAAAAAATACGGTCAAATTTTTGCAGGGATTCAATTTAACTTTATTAATATATTTGCACCCATATTACTTAAAGCAACATCGCCATTGCCAAACAAAACGAGCTGAGATTTGGAGTTGTTAAGGGGAAGTTTTTCTGTAAGGGAGATATCACTTACAGTCTTTAGAAAGTTAAGATGATGACAGAAATAAAATAAAAAATAAAATAAAATAAAGCGAGAACAACAATGGTCCCAAAACACTACCTTGGGGAACTCCTCGTACCACTATAAGGAATGATATGAAAAATTTGATAAAAATAATACTGAGATTAACCTAACTGAACCAAACTCCGTTTTTACAAAAATAAAAAAAATAAAAAATTGCAGTGCAGAAAAAAATTAAGTAATCTTTTGTCACTGGTGCTAGGTGTATGGCACATGGTGCGGGGGAGCCTAAATTAGCGTTACATTAGCAGGGTGATCCGAGTGGAAACATTTGTATTGCTCTGAAAAGGAAGATTTTTGAACTAGATGATGATGTGATATTGCAATTAGGTATCGATCACTACGAGTGGTTTTTTTGTATAGTTTTAATGGATTAAGATTAAGTCTGGTTTTCTGGTATTAAAAATATCAAAAAAGGGGAAGTGTGTTATTATTTGGTTGTATGGGAATTTAGATAGTTTAGAAAGGACTGAAGAGATTCCTGAACTAGTGACCAGGTGACAATGCCAAGTAGCAAGACGGAGTCAGTGCCGGTCGTAGGGGAAATCCGCAAGGAGCTCACCTACATGTTCCTAAGCCTGAGAAAAGTCTCGCTACTTTTTTTTCCCATTTAGGGAGTATATTTTATCGCAGTCAAAGCAAATGTGGCAGCTGTTCAAATGAACAACGGCATAAACCGACAATATTATTATATCAACCGGATACATAACCGGCAATGAAATACGTATATACGCCGACGATTCCCTTTGTTATTGTGAAATAGTAGTCGCATACTCGATTTGCTTAAAAGGGAAACAAATTTTAGAAAGCATTTTAAAGGTCGCCGACGAGGTTGTTTATGTCGTATGTGTTTAATGCCGGAAAATAGAGGAAATTTACTGCTGTTGGGCGTTTGTTTTCCGGTCGGCGTTTGTTTCTTAGAGTCGAGCTAAAATGCCCGTATTAGACGGTACGGTATCAAAGGCCGAATAATTTTTAAACTACTTAAAGTTGATCTCGATCTTACATTTGATGCTGTACAATTTAGACCTCCTAAATTGAAATTTGATAAGTATTTTACTCAATCACGTAAGGATTTGCATGTCCATTGTCATGCAATATCCTTTTTCACGCATCCCAGATGGAACTGGTATATAGATTGGTGTGTAAATTTCTTAAAACCTTCTGTATCAATCTATAGTGTATCTGATATTAGTTACTCATTTGTCATTAATTTATTCATTCCCTTGGAGGATGATGGATCCAGTCCCTTTTAAATAAGGCACCCTCTTAGAATTTAAGGAAAGTCTCTATTCACCGAGAAGACTGGCTGAATGATCCTGTTAGTCGTGGCCATAGTAAAGAAAAAAAAAAGAAGAAACAAATATGTTTCCGAGAGATGAATTGAATTATAAAATGAAAATTGATGAATATATTAATAGATCGTCTTACAAAAATACACTCGCCTCCAAGAGATATGCGAGGAGAGTTGAAAACTTGACTCCACATAAGACATGACTAGATTTTTATTTTGTTTATTTTCTGATTTTAACTTTAGAACTGGGAAGAAATTACGAACCGCTACCTATTTGAAACCAATCCACTGCAGTATGATTAATATTATATTTTGATGGATAACCAAGTAGTATTATTGCAATTAAAAAAAAAAAAACATTCATTATTTATTTTTAAAAAATGAAAAATAGACAAATTGGAAATTTTTAAAAATGATATAGTTTTGAAATATAACCGTAACTGTATACAATGAAAAAAAAGTAAATTGCAGACTATATTTCGGAGCGAGAGTACAAACATATTGACAAATTATTCGAAATGCTATACTAGAGACTTGTTAGGGCAATCTCAGAATGTACGCTTCAAATTCTTTCAAGCTGTAGAAGATATTGGCTGACAGAAGTCCTGATGCACTTTTTAAACTGCCTTACAAATAATGTTTTTATGGTTGGAGTAAGCAAATTGTAATAATAAGGTTCTACGTAATTGACGACTTCTCATAAAACATGTGGTTGGGTTTTGACTTTAGAAGGTGTTCTCTATTTCAGCGTGGAGATCAGCGTCTTTCTTATTGGAGTCTTTATTTTTATTAGTGAGTATTTTGAATAAATATATACAAACCACTGTTAATATTTTATACTTTACAAAAGCATTTTAGCAGGATAGTCCCGGGGGTAGTTTAAAGATTAATCTAAGTATCCTTTTTTGTATTTTATTAAAAACTGGTTGAGAACTAAGTTGAAATCCTTTACAGCGTTGAATGGGAATGAGCTCTGAAAGATTGCAATGTTATGATGTGGCATAGTTAGCTTGGCATTGTGGCAAATTAATATAGTAGACAATATTAAACGAATTTTCATGTAAACTGGTAAATTAGGATTATTTTTTACATTAAACAAAAGTTTCGAGAAATGTAGGATTCCTTCATTTTGAATCATTTTATATCATTGTATGAGTGTGATACGTGATCAAATTTCTTCAATCCATGGACACGCTGAACATGCTTCTTAGTTTCCTGATCTATACAAATCCATAGACAGAATCACAATAACTGAAATTAGAGAGGACCAGCGAATCACACAAATTTTATTTCAGTTGCTTACTTAAAATAAGTCTATTATTATATAAAACTTTCATGGAGGCAAAGGATTTTTGAAATATTTTTTTGGTGTTCTAATAATCTAAGTTTGCCTTCTAAGATAGCTTCCAGATTTATGGCACAATCTTGAACATTTAATTTTGAGTTGCTGATCACTGCATTTGATTGGTTGTTTATTAAGATAAAATGCTTATCTTTCCCAAACACCATAACACATGATTTACTTTAAATTAAGTTATGGAGATACTTGATTTAAAGTTTAAAGGTGATGATTAATATATATTTAGATATTTTATCTATGGCTTACACTCTGTTTACTAATTTATTTGCTTGCAAACGCCACAGGTATAACAGAACTTAATTACAACATTACAGTTTGGTTTGGCAATTCATCATGAATAGACTCACTCCTGAACAGCCTGAACACCGCTTGCAAATAGTGCAATTTTATTTCGAAAATAATGGTTCTGTGCGGAATACGTATCGCGCACTACGTCCATTTTATCGTCGACAAAATCGTCCATCAGAGCAGTTAATTGGATTAAACGTGCAACACACACCACGTTTACTCTTATTGATAACTCGCATCCTCAGAGACGCCGTACGGTGCGTACAGAAGAAGCTGTTGGCGCTGTAGGGCGTAGCATTGAGGAAGGCCCGAATGAGTCCATCCGGATCTGTGCGGAATACATATCGCGCACTACGTCCATTTTATCGTCGACAAAATCGTCTATCAGAGCAGTTAATTGGAGTAACCGTGCAACGTTTTGACACCACGTTTACTCTTATTGATAACTCGCAGAAGCTGTTGGTGCTGTAGGGCGTAGCATTGAGGAAGACCCGAATGAGTCCATCCGCTATCGAGCACAGGAATTGGATCTGGATATGGAAGATTTTGCGGAAGGATCTTGGTTTACGTGCTTACAAAATCCAACTCTTACAAGAATTGCAGCCAAACGATCATCAAGTAAGGCGTAGAATCGTCGAATGGGCCCAAAACGAGATTGCCGTTGTTCTCGATTTTCATAAGCGAATTTTGTATAGCGACGAAGCGCACTTCTGGTTGAATGGCTACGTCAACAAACAAAACTGCCCCATTTGGAGCGAAGCTAATCCTCAAATTTATGTCGAAACACCGTTACATCCAGAAAAACTGACTGTTTGGTGCACTTTATGGGCGGGTGGAATCATTGGTCCGTATTTCTTCAAAAACGATGATGGCCAGAACGTTACAGTCAATGGTGATCGGTATAGAGATATGATTACTAACTCTTTCATTCCTTAATTGAATAACCATGAGGTCCAGGAGATGTGGTTTCAACAAGACGGCGCAACATGTAATACAGCTCGTGCCACAATCGATTTATTGAAAGACACGTTTGGTGACCGCCTAATTTCATGTTTTGGACCTGTGAATTGGCCTCCAAGATCTTGTGATTTAACACCGTTAGACTACTTTCTGTAAGGCTATGTAAGGTCGTTGGTCTATGCGGATAAGCCACAAGCGCTTGACCATTTGGAAGACAACATTCGTCGTGTTATTGCCGATATACGGCCACAAATGTTGGAAAAAGTCATCGAAAATTGGACGTCCAGATTGGACTACATCTGCGCCAGCCGTGCCGGTCATATGCCAGAAATCATATTTAAAATGTAATGCCACAAGATTATCTTTCGGATAAATAAAATTCATGTCAATCGAATAATCCATCGTTGTTTTATTGCAACTTAAAGTTCTATATATCGAAAAAAAACACCCCTTATTTCCTAGTTTTGTCAAATTTAGCAGTTTATACATTCGCACTAATTCTGCTTATGCTAAGATCGTTCACTCCCATTTCTTTATAACACTGTACAATAATATGTATGTCACAACATGATTCCATATTACGCTGGCGTATTGTAAAATGCTTCTGACATATGCTAAATATAGCTGCTCAATATAATCTGCAGGTGTTTCAGACGATAATTGTGAGTCAAAAATTATTCCAAGGTCTCGTATTTCATTTTAAACTTAAAGATTGTCATATTCTTTTTACTGCTGAAGCTAGAAATATTACGTGTCCTTACCCGATTCCTTTTCATCCATCGGTGATGGGCTTCGGTCTGCTTGATGCGGTGTTGCCGCGCCTCCTCGGAGAGCGAACAGCGCCTTCCCCTCTCCCTTTCCTGCCATGCTGCCCGGCCTTGGGAACACTGCGGACAATGATATTTTTAAATGTTTTTTTAGTGGCGGTAAACTTTTTTTGAAAATACGAGATTTTCAAACAGGTTTACGTTTGGAATTTCTCAAATTAATTTATCCAAAAGTATACAGTCGTCCTTACATACTGCAAATAGTTAGAAATAAAATTAGGATATTAACAAACATTTACACATTCGAGTGTATAGGGTGGGCCGTTGATCTCGGGACACTACTTTATCTCAGAAACTATAAGGGATGGAGCCAAAAGTTAAATACAAAAGTTAATTAGGGTATTACAAACCTTTAATTTATCTAATTTTGTATATACAGTGCGTTTCATTTTTGGTGGGCATGAGTCAATTAGTATTAGTATTAGTATACTACTTCACTTTTGAATTCTATACAAAATTCTAGACATTTTTGTGTATAATGTGCTATACCTAAGTCTAACTGTTTTTGACATTTTTAATATTTGTTGCGAAAAATGACGTTTGCAACTTAAAATATCTGCCAATTTCTTCATTCGGAAGCATTTATTGTTTCAATTGAGTAAGTTTTGTTGTCGACGAAGGACCCGAATAACGGATTTCATAATAAATTGCGATACATAATAATACAGGGTAAAAATGAAATTAAAAAAACTACCCATTTTTAAATTCTCGTCATGTTTAGCATTAAAAATTAAGACAATTTTATATAAGGTTGTATATGTTCAATATTTTTACTTTTTGAAATATTTCCTTTTAAACATTTGTTTATTACAAATTAATATGCTGTTTCCATATAAGTTCAGTTAGTAGAAGGTGGCTATGACGGCGTTTGAACAAAACAAGTGCTAAAGTGCTGTCACTATTACTTACCATTTCATAGTTGATCATAATCTTTCCAATGCGCTTATGAAGATCCAAAGACTATGTATGCATTATTTATACAAAATAAGACCAAGGATCAGGGATAACGTTGTTGATTTTTTTTGTTAATGAACGATCAATAAAAAATTTATAATGGCATAATGGCATTTATAACAAATTCAGTCCCATTTATATATCTGATACCTTCTCTTAGCCGAAGTTTAGTTACTCGGCAGTTGATGGTTTATGTTTATAAACTAAATATTTAAGTGTACTTCATAGAAAAAAATCTAGGGGAGTTAAGTCGTTGCTCCTTGGAGACTAGGCGTAACTACCATTCTCCCCAATCCATTCTCTATAGCGTGCTTTTAAATAGGTGCTAATTTCTTGACTTCTGTGATAAGCAGTGCCATCCTGCTAGCCAAATTAAATTTCGTCGTTCCCTTTTAGTCACTTCATTTTCAACAAAGAGATGGATAGTATTTGAAAGCTCTAAGTAGCGGAATTTACATTCTGATCAAAAAATACTGGACCTATTATTCTGAACCTCCAAATGGCGCACCATACTTTGACAGAAGTTCCACCTGAACTTGTAACTTCCATATGTTTTTTATTATTCTTGTTTCTCCAGTAATGGGCATCTTTCCGATTAAAAAAATTAGTTGGGGCTATAAATATGGACTCATCTGTCCGAATAATATTAGCAATTATATTTTCTGAAAAGTGTCTCTCCATAAGATTGTTGCAAAAATCTAACCTGATCTTGCACTAATTTATGCACTGGACAGAATTTATAGGACTTCCAGTTGTTTATTTAAAGGCACGTTCGAAGCTTTGTTCTTTTGACATCTGGATCTGAAGACGGGTTTCGGGTTAAATCTTCAGGGGTCTCTGCAACATGCAACAAAATATTAAGTTGGTCTTCATTATTCAAAATATTTCTGTTTTTTCCTTTTTTTAAAGTTCCATATATTCTAAAGTGTTGGTAAATCTTCTTTCTGGGCGCCTCCCAAATGGAAATTTTCTAATATAATCCCTAAGAACCGGTGTCCGGTTTTAATTCTACATATGTAACTTTCTAACATATCAATATTTTCCTCTGTGGTAAACATAATATGCAAGAATCATCCTAGCCCTTGTTGTGTTTAAACGCCGTCATAGCCACCTTACACTAACTGAACTTATATGGCAACAGCATATTATGACAAATGTTTAAAAGGAACTATTTCAAAAAGTAAAAATATTGGACATATACAACTTTATATAAAATTGCCTTAATGCTAAATATGACAAGATTATAAAAAGAGGTAGTTTCCATTAAAAAAAAAAGTTTTTTGGCAATTTTTTTAATTTCATTTTTAATGTTATTTTTCGCGTAGCCTGTATTATTATGTATCGAATCGTTATTCGAGTCCTTTGTCTATAACAAAACTTACTCAAATGAAACAATAAATGCTTCCGAATGAAGAAATTGCCAGATATTTTAGGTCTTGCAAACGTCATTTTTAGTATAAAAAAATAAAAATGTCAGAAACGGTTAGACTTAGGTATAGGACATTATACACAACATATATCTAGAATTTTGTATAGATTTCAAAAATGTACTAACATACCAGGCGTACTATTTAAAATAAGAAAGTGAATACTCGCCCATGAAAAATGAAACACCCTGTATATACAACATTAAAATAAATTGAAGATTTGTAATACCTCAATTAACTTTTGGATTTAACTTTTGGCTCCATTTCCTATAGTTTCTGAGCTAAGGTAGTTTCCGAAGATAAACGGCCCACCCAATACATAAGACATACATGAATCAATCAAATCTGTTAATATTTACGCTTTTTGACACGTCATCGGTTAATTAGTTGAATGTTTTAGTACTTTTAATCTATTCAGTCGTATATTGGTTCTTACGTTATGTACTGCTTATATTATTACTGTTCCGTCTATTATGGCCCTGAAGCTGGTTTATAAGATTTATGTCGATGTTTGTCATTTAGAATTTTATAAATAAGTTTACTCTGTTCCATTTTTAATATATACTCTATATTTTGCACAAGTATCCTGGATGGATATATATATATATATATATATATATATATATATATATATATATATATATATATATATATTCTCACGTATTGATTCACGAATGGAAAAATGTGATGACACTATATTCCGGGATATCATCCGTTCGCTCGTTGAACTCCGACTGGAATCCTGCAGACGTTTCGCCAAAATCTCACTTGGCATCTTCAATGCTCGCGCTCCGAAAACTCGGATGATATCCCAGAATATAGTGTCATCACATTTTTCCATCCGTGAATCAGTACGTGAATATATATATATATATATATATATATATATATATATATATATATATATATATATATATATATATATATATATATATATATATATATATATATATATATATTCTCACGCATTGATTCACGGATGGAAAAATGTGATGACACTATATTCCGGGATATCATCCGTTCGCTCGTTGAACTCCGACTGGAATCCTGCAGACGTTTCGCCAAAATCTCACTTGGCATCTTCAATGCTCGCGCTCCGAAAACACTTCGAACACTGTTCGAACAGTTAGTCAGTGTTTTTATTTGATTCTTAATTTTAATTAATTACATTATTAATTTGTGTTGTTGGATAACACCTTCACGTAAACAAATGTTTAATTGCAACTTTTTAAGTCACGCGTCTATTAAACACTCGGCCTGCTGGGTTCCGATCGTGCCAAATAAATTCGTGACTCAAATGACATGATATATGTTATTGTTTCCAAAGCCAACTAATCATTCATATGCAAATATCACTTTATTTCCGCAAAAGACTGATTATTTTCGACCAATTTGTTTAAAATTATTGTTTTTGTGTTAATCTTAATTTATTTTTCACAAAAAATAAATGGTGAATATACAGGGCGGTTCATAAATAAATATATATATATATATATATATATATATATATATATATATATATATATATATATATATATATATATATATATATATGTATATATATGTATATATATGTATATATATATATATATATATATATATATATATATATATATATATATATATATATATATATATATATATATATATATATATATATATATATATATATATATATATATATATATATATATATATATATATATATATATATATATATATATATATATATATATATATATATATATATATATATATATATATATATATATATATATATATATATATATATATATATATATATATATATATATATATATATATATATATATATATATATATATATATATATATATATATATATATATATATATATATATAT